AAATTTGTAAAAGGTCAGCCTACAAAGCATTTCTGGAATGTAAAAAAATGGTCAAGCTATGGCTAAAGCTCTTTGTAGGTATTAATTAGAATTTTAAAAAGTAAGTTTTTCCTAAGCAATGGCTCCATTTTAAAAAGACCCATTAAGAACAATATCCTCCCCCACAGTAAGTTATCATTGAGAGGCATTTAAGACATAGAGTTTTAAACCAGCTCAAAGCAACACAAACTCATAGTTGACTGTACCACCTTCAAGTATATCACTTGTGTTTGGACATATAGTCAGACTGGCTCATCTAAGAATTTTTTACAAAACCTAAAAGTAATTGGTGATTACAAAGAAAAAACAAGGTTTTTTTTTTTTTTTTGGCCTTTAAAGGTTCTAAGACATTTACATTAACTCCATATCATTTATAGTCAAAGTTCCCCACAAAGTAAGAAGTACTCTTATGAGATAACACTGATTATGTGTGCTTGTGCTGGTAGAAGGGTGGCCATAGGTAATGACAGAAATTAAAATACCTACTTTTTGCTATATATATCCACAATGGACAAATGACAGTTCAGTATTTCTCTCCAAGACAAGTTGTATGTTTTCTTTTTTTTTGGTGCCGGGGATCAAACTCACACCTGCGCGCTTGCAATGCAGGCAACTTATGCTGCTGTGCTAAATCCCCAGCCCCCCAAGTTGTATGTTTTCTCATCTATTCCCTCACAGCATTCTTCTTCCTTGCCGTGGTCAAATTTTTCTCTGAACCTTTAAGAACTGGTGTGGTTACAAGTAAGTCAGCAAGTCTCACTCTGGTTAAACCACAGCACATAGTTTTAGCCTCTAAACTTCTCAAGAGTTTTCACAAATTAAACTTATTTAAAAGTTTAATCTGCCCTGCTCCTCAGAAAAACCAGAAACCTCCAGAGATCTCAAACAGAAACCAGGTCAGTACTCTTTTTCTACTTTGAGGCAAGAAAAGTATTTCTAAAGGTGTTAAACAACCTTTTCTGTTTTGCCATTTATATATTGGTACTGGGGATCAAACTCATGATCTTGCACTTATCGGGCAGGCACTTGTGCTGCTGAGCCTAGCCCACAATATGTCAAACATAGAAAATGGTCATACTGTTAAGTATCAAATGGAAAAGGAAAAAAATTCATAGTTCCACATCTCCCATGAAGGTGAGGTTGGGAGGAGACTCAGCTGGGCACAGTAGTACCCACCTACAATCCCAGCTATCCCAGATGTTGAGACAGAAGTCAGAGACTTGAGGCCAGTCTGGGTAATTTAGCAAGATCCTGTCTCAAAATTTAAAAAAAAGAGGGCTGGGGATTTAGCTCAGTGGGACCGCACCTGCCTTGCATATTTGAGAGTCTGGGTTCAATCCCTAGAACAATGACAACAGAAACCTATCACGTGACACAGGTTAAATCTGTACATATACACATGATACTGGCACCATGGCCATGCATTTCTGTGAATGATTGGCAAATATATATTCAGATATTTACTTATGTTCCTTATGCCTTACTTAAATAATGAAGTTTTAATTAAAAAAATCTTGTAAGTATTTAAATTAAATATCTGAAAGATTAAAATTAAAATAAAGGAACAGGTATAGCCTGGTAAGAGACAGCATACCTAGCATGGTTAACACTCTGGGTATGATTCATAGCATTGTTAAAAAAACAAAAGAAAACAAGAGACAATATTCAGGAAATGGAGATAAGGAATAATAAATGAAAGGTATAAGAAGCTTATTGTATCCTAAGAATTTTCCTAGCAATAACATTAAGAATGGATCTTTGTAACAATGTAACATTAAGAATGGATCTTTGTAACAGGGCCTCAAAATCAAGTTTGTACATGTTCATCATAAAACTGATTTTTAATTAGGGCTCACAAAATGGTCTATGTTTCAAAGTGTAACAGACAAGTTTTATGTAAGTGGGTGAGGTTTTCTATGTAATATCAATATAAAACCTGTAACATTAAAGTTTATAAAATATGTATCCAACTTGGAGAACCAGCATAAATAATAATTTATAAATAAAAGTTGCTGCTGTTATGTATTTTCAAAGGCTACTGACAACTACCACACTAAAAATGAATGTATAACCAAATAAATTAAGAACAATTCTTTGTTTGGTACTGAGAATTGAACTCATGATCTCGCACTTGCCAGGCAGGTGCTTGTGCCGCTAAGCTAAATCTCCAGCCCCAAGAACAATCCTTTATTAAACTGATATATCAAGTGGTTGTCTTCAAAATCTAATTTTTGAAGTATATTATTTTATATTTTATATGTGCTAACATTTAAGTTATCCAAAATACACAGAATACTGAACCACCTTACTTTTTTTAAACAATGAAGTCTCAGTAAGAAAATGTTAAAAAATATCCCAAAGAATGTTACTGAAAAATTTTAAATATTACCAGGACATAGACACACAAACGCGTTTATAAAGAGTAACAACAATGAGCACCATCACTCACTTGTCACACAGATCACTTGAACACAGTTGTTTTGAGGCCAAAGTGAGCAACTTAAGTGAAATCTCACCTCAACAACAACAACAACAACAACAAAAGTCCCTCTATCGCGCAGGTCAAGCACATTAACAGTAGCATGATTCTCTAATTCAAAAGCTAAACTGGAACACTTAAAAAAGAAAGGCAGTGGCATTAAAAGTTATACCAGAATAATAAACACGAACTTATCTTGGGCAAATCAGAACCTATGGTCACTTGATTTATCACTGGGTTTCGAAGTTTCCTGGTTGTCCCTTAACATTCACATCCCCTTGTTCTTTTTTTCTTTCTTTCTTTCTTTTTTTTTTTTGTCTTTTTCCTTTTTATCGGTACCAGGGATCGAACTCACAACTGCCTGCTTGCAAGGCAAGCACTTATGCCGCTGAGCTAAATCCCCAGCCCGTTCTTTTTTTCAAGAGGTAACCACCAGACTGTATGTATTTATTCATTCTACTATTAATGAAAATTTGTGTATTTTTTGTGTGCTATTATGAACATTCTTAAGTGTATCTCCTACATAAAGAATTTGTCTAAGGTATTTAGGAGAATTCTTCATTGTAGAGTAAATGCATATTTAAAATTTTAATAGCGTGTCATTAAGTGAGCTAATTCATTTATATTTTCTTTTAATGTTTTTCCTTTTATTTATGTAACAATTTTGTAACCTGTTTTGATGTTGTTACTATGTTATATATGGTGATGGCCTAATTTTCTTCCCCCTCAGATAGCTAATTTTCACAATTTTATTCGTTGCATACTCAATCCTGTTTTGGTTTGGCATACTTTCCCTAAAACCAAGTTCTTATACAAACTACATAGTGTTTTAGGATTATCTATTGTGTTCTCTTAGGTTGCTAAATGTTGACTGTCCATCCAGCACAAGAGAATACACAGCTATTTATTAATCCAAAATTTAGTGCCTCTAGACTCTCTCCTGGCCTCAGGTTCTCAAACATAAGCCTCCTTTTTCTTTGTTTCATCACTTTCAGATTTTTTTAAAAAACATTTTTACATGTTTGGAAAAAAATTACAAAGTACTTCTTGTCCCCTGGGCTCTATGAAGGATGGCTGGAAAATTATACCATTTTATCTTTTCTCCTGAGTTTTTGCTATGGGAGTATTTATTATAACAACTCATGAAAACTTTCTTTTAACCTAAAATTTACTATCAAACTTAAAATTTAATTTCAGGAGAATGATTTACATCAGTGAAAATACTGTGCAGGGATTTATAGAATCACAGTGATACAATTATATCTAAATTGTTTTCCTAACAGGATAGATACAGTGTCTTCTTCAAGTTGTTTTAAGGTAAAGCTCCTTCTTCCCATTTTCTCTCATCTTTTCCTTGAGAGTTTAGCTCTTCGTGGCTCTCAGAGTTTTGTTCAGTCCTTATACTTGGAGACACAGCTAACCTTGAGCCAATTTACAGACAGTATCTTCTGCTACAAGTTCTTTACAGTGTAGGAGAGCATAATTCAAATAGGACACTGAACAGTAAGTCCTACACACAACTGATAAATTCATAAAGTATTGTTATTAGCATTTTTAATGCTTTCTATCACAAATCTTTAGTGGATGGTTAAGTGCTAGTGACATCTAGAAAAATTAGAACCTGTATATGTTAGAAACATGATTTTTCTTATTTAAAAGTATAAAATATAAAAATAAGATTATGAATATAGGTTTATAGGTTAAACGCAATTGAAAATTATATTACTCAACAAGCTTTAAAAATGGGTTTGTTCAAATGAGTCCTGAAGTTGTTATCTGATAAATTTTACATTTCAGCCTTGCCTCAGACTATACCCAAATAATCTAGAAATTCTAGGTTTTTATAAACTATAGTGTAGCAGTAGTACACTAAAGCTCAACCGCTTGTGGCTTTGACTATTCTTAAAGAGTATCTAATTTTTTTCTCGGTTTGGACAACTGAATATAATAAAAAGCATACACAGGGGTTGTTGTTAACGTAATAATCAAACACATGAAGTTATTTTAAATGTTGGGCAAATGGTATTTGTAATTTAAAAACTTGAGGTAAATGAAGCATTAAATAATCCCTACAGGTAGCAAATCTTAATGAGTAGCAAATGTTTACATATATTAACCTGAATGAATTACTCTGTGGTAAAGTACCTTTCCATAAAAGTCATTTATATATGACCTCAAATAAAATCTCTTACCATAAACTTGATCATTTCATCTATTATTCTAAAATAAAAATTCTCTAAGGGATAGGGAAATTCAATTTTGCATAGGGCTAAAATCTGTTCTCTATCATCTTACTTATCTTTCAGAAATGCTCTTAAGTGAGTATGTAATGTAGAAATAGCATAAAAATAAGATTCTTGCCTTTAACATCCAACACAGTGCCTAGCATGATTTTAGTTCTTTTCAGTAGTAACCAGCAAATTCTTATTTTATCCCTGCAGAAAAAAATTAATGCAAGGAAAGTCAGGCAATATTTTCTTACCCACAGTCTGGAGCTGGACACCACCTACAGTCAGGATCTGCGACAAGCCACCGTCTAAGCATAAATTCTTCATATTTTTCCATCAAGACATCATCACTTAATATCAAGCGAATGTCATGGGGATTAAACCGTTCCGTACATTCTGGGCAACTGATATTAACTCTACTTTCAGAGATTTCTATTCTCAGGTATTGTCGTAAGCAATCCACACAAGATCTATGATGACAAGTCATTATATCGGGAAATCTGTCTTTAGAGTGCCGCAAAAGGCACAGAGGGCACTCTATAAAGTCTCCAACTTGTTTGCTGATAGAAGTTAATCCATTGTCAGAAGAGGCATTTGTAGAGAAAACGGAGTTCTTATCAGTGCACATTTCAGAATGTATACTTTCAATACTTGCAATCCCATCCACCCCTCCATTTAGCTCCCTTGATTTACGTTTGTTACCCTTTTTCCTCCGAAACAGAGAGCCTATTGAAATTCTTCTTTTTTTGGGTGCTTTTTTAACGGAAGGCAAGCTTACAGATGAAGCAGAAGACTGAAGATCTCGATCTGAACCCATTTGCCGATGTAAACTCATGTCTAAAATGCGTATTAGAATTGAGTCAGGGACAGTGTCTACACACAGCCCTTCATTATACTTCAAAATAAATCCTATTTCTTGTTCTTGCAGTCAGATTAAGCCATGATGTATGAAGATCCTACTTGGTTCCTTCAGAGAATTCTTGAAAAACTTTGATTTATAGAAGATGTTATTATAGATGTCCTGAAAAACAAAAACCAAGATCATTAAATTGTATTTTTAGTCTACAAGTTTTTATAACTTACAAATTCTTTATGAAATTTCAAACACATATATTCTTTAATCTTAGTTTAAAAGGTAAATTTATTAGTTTAGAATATAAAATTAACACTGAACTAGCAATAACATTGTTTAATCTCAATAAAGATATGAACAAATCTGATCGATATAAGATCTTAGGTAAAATTTCTGATCATTATCACTTCAGCAATACCTCACAGCATTTAGGAGTTTTTGTTTGTTTTTAATTGACAATAAAGGATACATGCAAATACAAAGCGCTAAGGACAGTTTATATAATCTTGAAAAAAAAAATCAAAGAGGGAGAAGGGCTCTTCCACTGCCAGAACAATGATTTATTATAAAGTTACAGTAATTAAGACAATGTGCTATGTCACAAGGATTTATATAGAACAATGAAACAGAATATAGTCTGAAAGTCCCATATATGTGATACCTGATTTATGACAAAGATGACCTTGCTGAGTACTAAGAACGGACTTTTTGTTTTTTTAAGAAAAAAGTCCTATGTCTACTGGCTATTCATCTGAGACAATGGTTTGATCTATGGCTCATCTCATGTGTAAAAATCAGTACCAGATGGTTGACAGATATAAATGTGAAAAATAAAATCATGCAAACTTTAGGAGACAGCATGAGAGTAATTCAATGAAAAAAATTCTTAAATGGAATATACAAAAGTGCTAACCATAAAAGATGATAAATTGGACTACAAAGTCAAGAAAAAGTACCAAATGAATGGGAGAATACAAAGAACTAAAAAAGGAACAGTATCCAGAATATTTAAAGAACATCCAAATCAATAAAAGTAGACAACCCAACAAAAGTGGCCAGAGGATGTAATAAGTATGTACTTTACAAAAGGATACAAAAAAATTCCCTATCAGCAAATAAAACATTAACGCTACATTGAGAAACTACTATACATGCAGCAGGGTAGCTATAGTTAAGACTGATATTTTTATATGCTGTAGGACTAGGAACCCTCCCATACTGGTGATGAGAGTGGTAAAATGGTTCAACTTCTTTGGAAAGTTAACAATATCTACCAAATGTGAACATACAGAGAATGTAATCTCTTACCCAGCATTTTACTCCTAACAAATGAGGGCACAAGGCAAAATAAATGCATCAAAAGATATACATAACTATGTTCACAGAAATATTTATGTATTCACAGTAATATTTATTAGTCAAAATACTGTGAGCAATCTACATTTCCATCAACAGAATATAGATGTTGGGGTATATTCATGTTCTAGTATTCCATGAAGTAATGAAAATACTGCTTCACACACACACACACACACACAAAATAATGCCACAAAAAGAATGTGTCATGTAATTCTATTTATATAAAGTTCAAAGAAGGTAACATTAATCTACAGTGTTAGGAGTCAGGGTTATAGCTACCCTTAGGGGTAAACACAAAGAGACCTTTAACATGTATAGTGATTACAAAGGTATGAGATGTGACAGAAAAACAAAATAAATGTTTAAAAATTTTAAAAATATATTACAGTAAAAGACACATTAATTCCTCAGAATATTTTCCCTTGTTTTGAAAACACTTATCCTACCATTCTTGCCACTTTTGGAAGCAGTTCTGGAAGTTCTCTTTCTAGTGAGTGTCTTCAGTTGCATTGTTGTGGCTGCTTTGATATCTTAAATGATTCCAAACATTTACTTTTCATGGTCACTGTGACTATGAGAAAGAACCAGAAGTTGTGTGGTGAGTATCAGTAGGGTGGATATGGATACACTGTAATGGCTTTTTTACAAGCCCGTCTTTCTGTTGGATGAAACTTAATAGCAGCAAGCAATGTATGTTTTAATCATACCTCACAAAGACACGAAAGAGGTCATCCAGTGCTTCGAAGAGTGGCAAGAATGATGAGACAAATATGATCAAAGCAAGGAGTAGTAGAATGAGGGGAGATTAACAGCAATGTATCTTTTACTGTAATATGTTTTCATTTTAACCTTCATGTATATTTTGATCACGTTGCATTACGTTCATATAGAAAGATGAGTGAACAAAAACTGCCAAAGATTATGTATAGTATGAGCCCATTTGTAAAAAAAAATAAAACCACATAGTGTTTGTTATATATAAAATACTGTCAGATTTATTATGAAGGCTTAGCTTACATGACTAAGGAGACAGAGAAGTCCCATAATAAGCCTTCATAATAAAGCTTTTTCTGTATGACTTCGAAAAGGACAAAATTCTTAGCCTACTTATCTAACCTCTTTTTTTTTAATAGTATTTATACCACTTTTAAAGTCAAGATCTCTGGGGTCTTACTTTTTCTATCTCTTAAGAAATGTTTGAGAAATTAAGAACTAGAAATGACCCCAAACAAAAGTGTTTCTACCATGTTAAAGCTATGTGGCATAAAGATTCAGTGAAAGTACAGACTTTACTGACTCATCCTAAGATATATTTAATTTGACACCATGTGTTAAAATTGGGTAGGAATGAACAATCTACACAGAGAGCATACCATGTTTTAAGAAAAGCTGTATTAGTCAGGGCCTTACCAAAATGCATTCATAAGGCAGTTAACTAAAGGATGCACTCAAAAAAGGTGTGAATAGTGTCAAAGAAATCAAATCTCAGGAAGTTGCTGACTTCAGAATGAAACAGCAGGGAGGGAGCCGTTATTGGAGAGTAGTTGATCAACAGTAGCTGATGGAATACCCAGCTTCTTTCTCCTCAGGACCCAAAATTTTGCCAGTGTCTCCCAAAAGCCAAATCTAAATCCAAATCTAATCAGAAGCCAACAAGGGAGGACAAATAAAACAATTCTTAGAAGTCAACCTCCTGAAGTACAAAGCAGGGTAAAGGAAGAAAAGGTAGGAGGAGGTTGTTGCTTCTGGAGGAGGCAGGACAGCCAAACTAACCCATACCAGATATATAGAGAGACCCTGGAAGTAGAAAGACTTGGCTCTGCTACTCTTAGTTATAACACCTTAGATAAGGTACATTTCTAAGTCTGTGATCTCCATTACAAAACATGGATGACCCCACCCACTTAAAATGTTCCAAGATTAATCTGAAATTGAAATGTTGAAAGTATCTAATAAAATCCAACATTGTACTAGATGTAACTAAAGTGAAATGTAAGATAAGCTTTGTATCCCTAGCCTAATACCTTACATAATATGTAGTTCATAAAAAGTGAGTAATAAATATTGGCTAAGTAAGTCAGGCTTTGGGGTTGCATGATCTTTATTATACAGCCTTTCTACAGCTAGAGTTTTAAAGTAGAAAAAAAAAAAGATAAGAAATTTTTATTCCACAAGTGCTACAGGATTCTTAACAGGTTAAATATCCTGAAATAATGTAACTTCAAGCATTACAGATTAAAATTACCCCTTGGATACACATTTCCTAACTGTGAACACTGTAGTAGCATCTAATGGCCACCTATGTGCCTAAAAGACTTATGACTCATAGGCAAGCACTTTAGAAAGTGAGAGAGATGAGTAAAAAGTCTACAGAACACTTCCTCACTCTACTTCGCAAAAGAGATTTCCAACTGTGGCCAGCGCACTGCATACATCCGTGGACAGCTGGTACTGTGGCTCTATAAGATCAACAACTTTTAATACTACTATGTGATTTTTAGGAATGTTTCTCACAACTCAGTTGTGTGGTATTTCAGTGCAGACTGCATACGGATAACAAAATGCTGTTTCAATGCAGTCCAATTGAAACCTGTCACATAAACAAGCACTTTACGGGTAACAGTATTTCGACCTACCTATACACGTATGGATAGGCATTGTTATTGAGCAGATACATACATTTTCTTACTTAATTATTAAACTTGGGTTTATTGTGTTATATCATAAGATAATTTAATAAGTTAAAATGGCTCATTTAGCAGTTGCAATATAGAAAGCACAAAAACACATTAGTTTTTTGCTCACATTATAGCAACATATATAATCACTAATACTACAAAAATTGATAGCTGGTTATTAATTTTTGGAATGCACACAGCTATAATCAGACATTCAATTCAAAGACAAATTTAATCACATCTTTAATAAACTTTTATAAGACCTATCTTCCTGCAAAAAGTATCCCTTACTTCTTAACCATGCCTTATTCACATCACTACTTTTTGGCAGTATGTACATTTGTGAAAGACTATTTTTAAGGAGGAACTACACGAAGAATAAAATTAGACAAAAAACTTCTGACAAGCACTTTGAGAACTCACTATATTGTACCCACTTCCATTGGACTAGACACCAATCCATCATTTTCATAAAAACAAGGACAAATATCCCATTAGTTTTATGTTTCTGCTGTCTTTTTCAAATGTTACAAAATATTTAAAAATAAAGGAAAGTTTTTAAAAACTTATATATCTTGTCTATACTGTATTACACATTTTACATGTGTCCCGAGATATTTCTTTTTCACTTAGTGTGGTCCTGGCAAGCCAAAAGGTTGGATATCCACAGTCCAAATACTAAATATTAGTGAAGAGTACTCAGTTTCTCTAATTCGCTTTTCTTTTTCAGATGTCTGGTAATAAACATAGCATGAAGCCATATCTACCAGCACTGTGGAGCAGCACAGGAAGAACACTAACTTCTTCCCCACCCTGTTACATCTTAGCAAGGAAGAACAGGGGTAGAGAGTTCCAAACAGAAATTCCTCAACTTCATTAACTTGGTTACTACTAGAGTCAGAAGCTTCAAGAAAGACAAGACTCTATGTTAGATGCTGCACTCTATATTACAAAAGTGTAACTTTATACTTACATCAAGATAGAAAGAAATGAGGAAAGGAAAATTTTAAAATTACACGTGAAATTGGAAAACCAAGAGAAACATTTGCCTTGATAGATAAGAAAGATATCTTAGGCCTTTTACCAGTCACTAACATTTACTTTTTGTAAACCACATATTTTTATCATGCT